CATCAAAGCAACCACTTCCAACGCCAGGAGTGAAATAGCACGCGCCCGCTCAGGCAGGGAGCTGCAGCGGAATGATGCGATGATAGAAATTATCAACCACCACTTCGATCATGCGTGCCCGCGCTGTGCGCGCGCAGGAAACCTGGCCACCTAGGGGAACGAACGCGCGCATTTAGCGTCATATCCGGCGGGTGCGACAATTGGGCGCCCCTTGCTCATCCACCTCCACTTGCGCTTCGCGGGGAAGCATGACATCGAACGTTACTTGTGCCCCAACCCTGTCGCGGTCCTCTGCCAGACCCCAAGTTTGCAGCTGGCGCGCGTCGCAGCGCCAGGGCTGCCCAGAACGGCCGCGGTGGCCCATGCGACCCATGGGCGCCTTGGCGACGAGGAAAGCACTCCCTGGACAAATCATCAACCCTGGACATCATCGGCCTCTTCCTGATCGGTCCCAACGTGACAACCGGCGCCGCCGCATCAGAGTCCATAGGCGAGGTCTCGAGAAGAAAGAGAAGAGACGCCGGGATGCGCCCTCACCAAGACCTCGACTCATTCAAGTTTGCGGAGGCCATAGCCGCTATTGAGTGCAGGAATCCGACGTGCACGTGCAAAGAAATGGTCGCAATACATATCATATCGACGACGTCGCAAGCCCCGAAATTCGACTCGGTGATGGACGCGGTTGCCATCGACAACATAGACGCGTTACAGTTGAACGGACCACATTGCTGGTGATGATGGCCAAATGCTACGCGCCCATGTGCGATGCCAGAAGGTCGGCGCCGCGACTCGACCCCAAGCTGATCGCCAACCCATGCGCTGGATGGAGCTGCACAGAGTCTGCTGATGTCCATGGAAGTCCGACATCAACGGTTTACGCCAACCACCTCATTGAAAAGTCAGAGAAGCAGCGGAAACAAAAGGTCTACAGGCAGGGGGCCGCAAGGATCAGAGAGCCGCGCTTCACGGAGTCGCACTTTTGCGATTGCGATGAGCATGCCAACGACCGCGTCGAGCATGAAAGGACCACTTTACATCCAACGCGGGCATCCTGAGCGCCAGGGTTGCCGACCAGCCCACCGAAGCTATGATACCATCCGTGGCTGCAAATCATGCGACGCAGGACCTTGCGGCTCTCGCCATGCTGGCGCACGCGCGCAGGATTGAGCGCAGTGCGGCTCCATGCGGGGCACGACCAGCCTCACCTCGTCGCAGTTGCTTTCGTGCCGTAGTCTAGAGGGCAGCTCGTCTCCAGGGTGCCTGGGGACAGGGGCAACGTCTTCAAAATTTGCGCGGGCAATACCCACCGCGCGAGTCAGCCCGCGAGCCCGCAACTGAAAGGGGCGGGGTCGAACGCAGATTTCGGTTTGGAGGCGCCCTCCAGGAATGGTGACGGAGCGCCGCTACATTGCCGACGCAAGCGGGGAACCCATTAGAAGCGAGCGAGCGAGGGCCGAGGCAGAGCGGAAGGGGCCAGCCATCCCAGTCAAAGAAGTGTTTACCATCGGCCCGCGATGCATGGTGCGACCCGCAATTGCCGCGCCAGCTAGGTCGCCGCCGCCAGCGAGGGGCGCGCCCAAGCTTGCCGCGGGAGGACAGATTTCGACCGGCGACGGGAACGCGAGGAGCAGAGAGGAAGGGGCCACCAAGACCATGCCGCACCCACAGGAGGTCTTTTCTATTACGACGCCGCCGAAGACTCCTCAGGGTAAGCAGACACAGCCTAAGACAGCTAACCCGATTCACGCCAACAGCGCAATCGTGCCATGCAAGCCGCCGCCGCTCACCAAGGCGAGAGCGTTAGAACCGCTTCACATGGAGACAGTCTAGGAGCAGACCTACCATGCCGAAAGCCACGGGTGCTTCACACAGAGACGTGAGATCTGGGATGGCGACTGGAGAGCAATCGCGGGATAGAGTCGCACGGCTAAATGATAACATCAGCCATGCGCACTATCGGCGGTGCACGAACCTTTCCAAATGTCACGCCCGCACGATGATATTTGCAGTCCTCCACGGCGCCCGCCCGCGACCCAAGGGCCATCCACGACGTGGAACATGACCCGGGCGACGACGCGAGGCGCGAGCGCGACGTCCACGTGACGTGCATCGAGGCATCGTCCAATTACCGCCTGACATGACGGACAATCAGCAGCCCGACCGTGCAGGACGACCGACAATCATACCACACTCGGCCACTCGATCGACCGCCATCTTGCGAGGGTGACAGCGCACCCCGCAACCGAGGAGGGCGACTACATGCCCGTGCCGGCTGTGCTCGATCAGCATCATCGCAGCCTCTTTACACGCATCAAGCTGGGGATCCGCTGCCGCCCGCAGTCCCAGCCAGCCCGTTTGCGATCAATTCTGACCCGCAGGAGGTCGCCAACAAAGCTATCGGCATGGTTGCCGAGTTGGCCGACGACCAGGCAGCCGCCATGCGTGTCAACGAAGGACGTCGTCGACAAGCTGCCCCTACAAAGAACAGTGACGTCTACAACTTGCGCCAGCAGCAACCCACCCCACTTCAGAATCCGACCACAGGGCGCCGCTCATCGACAACACCATTAACAGGATGGAGGACTCGCCGCGGACCTCAGCAGCATTTCAAAGCAGCGCCTGCTCACGGAGAGGCACCCGCTGATGAACACCCGCCGAAGCCAAGCATGACCAAAGGCGTCAACGTTGCTTCTGATGATCACCGACAACGACAGCGCCCCAACCGACGACGGCCGCGCCCATGCCAATGGCACGCATCAGGCACCGACCGCCGACGGCCATGCTGAGGCGGCGGATAAGGACCACGCGCAGCGCCACGACACAGGCGGAGCCCACAACCATGCCGCTGTCACCCAGAACGGTGACCAGACGGAATGGACGCCATGGCCCAGACTTGCCGGCGGGTGCCAGACCGACCCGTCGACCAGCCCGGCGAAATTGGAGCCCCCCCCCGTTGGCCACCCACAACAACGACGCATCGGCCTCGCGACGGGGCCAGCCTGACGGCGGCTCGCCAGTGCGTCGCCCCTACATGACTACACTTCTGTCAAATTCTGCTCCGACAGACCGACGACGGACTCGTCCGAAGGCCAGCTGCTCCAACCGCGACCCCTTTCTTGGCGCTAGTCTGTACCGCGCAGCCTGCGTTCGTTGAGTTCTCGAAGCAGCAGCGCAGCTGGTCAGCGTAGCACAATGCCTGGAGCTCCCACGGGCTCCTCCATGGCCGCGGTGAGGCATGGGCCCCACGGCGTGCCATATCGCGCGGCATATGCACCATCCCACGCGGCACGCGGGTTCTTCAGAGGTTTTCTCACCCACAGATGGTCGATCAAGCGTGAGTCGCTCACATGTGAGGCTCTCCACCCACCTGCGCTCCCCATTGGCCCCCCTGCCTGTCATGGGCCGCCCCCCCCGCTTCGCCCCGCCTGCCCCCTCATCCCTCTTTCGCGGTGGCGGGGCGGGCGGGGGTTTCATGGGCGGGTGGCGGGCGCAGATGCAGGCTGCCGACCTGGCGGAGAGTGGGGGGCGGCCAGCTTCACCGACTTGTTCCCGCCTGGCCGCCCAGGTGCCGGCGCAAATCCCGTCGCGGCATCGTTGATCCCATTCCCCATTGCCATCTCGCTTGCTTCGACGTGTGTCTGTCCCGCCCTTGCCTTCCATCCCCTGCTGTTTCCAACGAGTAATGACAGCGGGGGGACGGGGGGGATGCGAGGTCTTTCGCGGGGCGAGGGGGGCGGGGGTGGGGGGGGCGCATTCCGACGCGACGGAGCCGCGCCACCGCCACGGAAAACATGGGCCATTCCCCGCGCCCGGCGGAACCTCCCCGAGCGGCCGCCAGCCTCGCGGCACGGGAGGGGACAAGTCGCGGGGCTGATGGGCGTTTCGGGGTGATTCCTATGTGCAGGGGGAAAGGCCCTCATGCTCTCCACCTTGGCGAGCGCGGCCGGCCATGTGCGTTTCGGCGAAAGCGGTCGACCCCGCGACGCCGCTTGGAAGGCTCAAACCTCATTCATGTTGGTGGTGCCCCCTTAAGGCGGCCCCGAGGTCAACGCGCCGGGGACCCTGCGCCTGCTTGCGCGAGGAATTCCATTCCCGATCGGGGGGGGGCCAACAAGTGTTCCTGTGAACCGACGGAGGGACCCTTCAGCGCTCCTTCGGTGAGCGTGGACAGATATCGCCGCCGCCAACACTTTGCGCCAGCCGCCACCATCCACTTTCTGAACAGTTCCCTGGTCCTTCTCGTTTGACCTCCGTCGTGGTTTCACCATCAGCCGCCCACTGTGCAACACGCGGCCGCCAACAAGAGAGATGGATGGGTTTATGGGTTTTCGCGGCGCGGGGGGCGCACCAGAGCTCGTCGCTGGCCATCACATCGAAGACTTTGGTACCGAGACGCATGCACATCAGCTAGCCAACCACCCCCAACGAAATCACAGTTTGCGCCGTGCCACTCGCCCATGTGTTCGGCACCATCTCCCGACTGCTACCACGCCTCACGCCGCCAACTGAGCCCCGCCGCCACGTTGTCCACTGCCTAGTCTTGCTTGTTGTCACCTCTACCACTCGCCAGCTTTTCGCAGACACGTGCCGCGCGCCCCTTACAATAGTGGATGGGGGGGACTTCGCACGGGTGGATGGGGCGCTACATGCGCCGCACCGCTTGCCACGCACGGCGTTAGCCCCCCCCTTCTTTGTTTCTCGTTATCGTGAGGTCTCCTCCGCTTCTCCTCCCTTCCACCCGTTTTTTGTTGTCGGTTGTTCCCGCTTTACAGATGCCTGCCAGCGACCTTTTGGGCGGTGCGCCACTGGGTCGCCTGGCGCTGGTTGAATTCACCCTCCCAGGGCCTGGCCCTAGGAGAGGGGAGGGCGACATCGGTACCGAGCTTGACCCCATCAGCTCACATCTCACAGGAAGGGAAGACGACGCCGACGGCGGCAACTGCGAGAAAGCAGGCCACGGCAGCGGACGCGGCGGCGTGCTCCGCCCCTGCCCAACTGAGGCCTCCAACCTGGAGGCCCTCGTCACGCACGCGGCCTGCCTGGCCAAGCGGCACCCGGAGCGGCCCCGTGGTGGGACGAGCGACGACGACACCGACGACACCGACGACGACAACGACGACGACGGTCCCCTAACCCAGCAAACCCATGCGCCTCGCTCTTCGGTGGATGACGCGGCGGCGACGACGACGGCGGCGGTTGGCGGCGGCGGCGACTGGCGGTGGCTGCGACGAGAGGGGGATGGGGGTGAGAAGAAGCACGGGGGGGTCCGGAGGTTCCGGTGCCCCCAGGGACAGTTGGGGGGATCGGGGGCCGAGGAAGGCGAGGAGGAGGAGGAGCAGAAGGAGGAATAGGAGGAGGAGCAGGAAGGAGGAGGAGGAGGAGGAGGAGGAGGAGGAGGAGGATGTCCAAGCATTTGATGTTTCAGTTTTTGTTCAGCACATGGTCCCGCACTGCTTTCTTCTGAGACAGTTCGGCCTCTGAGCCCCGTGTCGGCCGCCGAATGTAGTCATGGTGGGCCCTTTTCGGCCGCCCAGGGAGCCGATCTCCTTCAGCCTGTCAGAATAGCGCATTCGGCCGCCGAGTGGACTTAGGATAGAACCCATTCGGCCCACAAATGAGCCATATTGCCGCCTGCCTGTTGTAGTGGGTTTGTTGGGCTGCCCGTTTGGCGGCCGAATGGGCTCAGATTCCGATTGTGCTCAGAGGGGAGTCCTGGAATTCCTGGCAGTCCCGAGCCTTTTCCTAAGGTCAGTTTTTCATCCCGAGCCGGTTTCTGACGGTCAGGGGGCACGGTGAGGATCCCCAGTGGCCGGAGTCGGCGAACTCAGCACGTTGTTGTTTTTTCTCGAAGTTGCTCTTTGTTCCTCCCAAGGCGCTAGCTGTCCTGGGCATCGGCGTCGACCTCTTCCTCGTCGTCGTCCGTCTCCAGGTCCCTCCGCCTGCTCTTCGGGATCGTCTCGGTTCTGCTTGAAAACTTCCTGGCCGTTTTTTATACCGTTTTGCACCTTGGGCTCTAGACAAGCTAAAAACGCGTAACAAAAAGCGACGTTGTTCAAACAATGTGGATTGGTTTTGTTGTTCGAGCGTTTTCAGGCCCGTCGCTGTGGATGTGTTTTCCACCCGACAGGTTGGGGTTGTGAGGTTTTAAGAATCCACCTTCTGGCCCGCCCGCCCTGCATACCGCGGCCGCCAGATCCCCAGGCTCCCAATAATCCTTGGTGGTCCCGCCCCCCGCGCCGACTCGCCCACTCTGCATACCGCGGCCGCCAGATCCCCAGGCCCCCCACAGAACAGGGCATACCACCACATCACCAAACAGAACATATCCGAGCATAACATACCACATCATGACATTTCGCGTCGCAGCATAACACACCATGACAGAGCAGTGCATACCATAGCACAGCATCACAGCACATAACATTACATGACAAGACAAGTCATGCATACCATGACGAAACACCGCAGAAATGAGCATACCAAACCATACACCACTCACAAGGATATAGTATATCATGGCACCACACAGCATAACAGCGCATGCTATGACAGGTCGGACCATACATAACACACACAACAAACCAGAAGAACATGCCACGGCATACCACTGGCCGAGACCACCGCGCCCCGCGCACATCCTTCCAATGAGAGAGAGTGCGCGCACAACTCGGGATCCAACGCCGAAGGCTTCGGTGGGGATCGCGCGAAGCAAAACCACTGCAGAACGTGTTTCGCTTTCCGCTCCTCTGTCACGGGCTGCTCCCTGGCTTCACCGCCGTCTGCGCTCCTGCCCTCCGGTTCCCGCCGCCTCCCTCCCCCGCTCCTGCGCGCAGAGCGCAGAGCTAACATCGCCCAAACCACGCCCTGCCACCAATCTAAGCAGGACGATGGCAGCGAGAAGACATAAGGAGACATAAGATAAGCAATCTAATATGAGACATAAGGAGGAAGACGGCGAGAGCGAAGGGAGAAACATGAGGGCGGAAGGAAAGGGCAAATGAGGGGGGTCGCGTGAACAGGGGGGAGGAAATAGGAGCAGAGGAGATGACAGGGGAAGAGTGGATGAAGAGAATGATGATGCCGGGAATTGGAAGAGGAGGAGGATGGAAGGGGACGGAGGGGCCGGATGAAGACGATATGATAAGAGGATGAGGAATACGAGAGCTCCTACAGGGTTATCATAGGGTGTTTGAGACGATGCTGGGCTCCAGAAAGGTTTCCTGGACGGGAGTACAGGCGCACCATTCCTACTCTGTAGACGAATGGGTAGTAATGAACGGAATGGCAAACTGGGCGAGAGCGAGTGGGGTGGCATATGACATTGAAGCATGTTGCGGAAGATTTTTTATTTGTATATGGGTATATATATAGAGAGAGAAAGAGAGAGAGAGAGAGAGAGAGAGATAGAGAGAGAGAGAGAGCGAGAGAGGTCTGGAACACGCAAGCAACTAAACAGAGAGAGAGTGCGAGAGAGAGAGAGAGAGCACACACAACAGCTAACCATGACATACAGTAATAATTCACGAGAGAGAGATATATATATATATATATATAGAGAGAGAGAGAGAGAGAGGAACAGCGAGAGGGATAGAAAGAGAGAGGGAGGGAGAGAGAGGGGGAGGGGGGGAGAGGAAGTGGGGGGCAGGGGGAAGGGACGTAAATCGAGTGATGGTAGAGGAGGGGAAAGCGAATGCAGGAGCAGGGAGGGGAAGGGGGGGAAACTGGTCGGTCGTAGAGGATGGAGGAGAGCTCCCTGTGCCTCCCCCCTTTCTTCCCATGTCTTCGGGGGTCACTGGAGATTTATAGAACCTCGGCCCGAGGCCAGCAAAACTCTGTTCGTGATTAAACTCTGGCCCTGGGGATCGGGACTCCTGGGGACCCTGTGTTTGGTGTGAGGGCCAGTGATGGATTTTTGAATATATCCAGACTTCGCATGTCGGCCCCCCACCCTGTCGCGAAAGTACTCCATTCAACTACCCTTCTGATTTCCCCATCTTCCCTTTCGAGGGTTCGCAGATATCGTCGAGGTGCTCATGCTTCTTCAGGGCGTCGACAGAAACCTCTGGATGGGGGGGAAGGAGGGGGAAGGTGGGGTGGAAAGGAAGGAGGGACGGGAGTGTAAGGAGGAGGGAAGAAAGGGGCTGAAGGAGGGGGCAGGAGGGGATAGGGAGAAACGAGGGGGGAGTTTGGGGGAATGGATGAAGGGCCAGGGAGGAAGGAGGAAGAGAGGAGGAGGATAATGAGGAGGATAACGACATATCAACCGATCTTCCGTCCCCCTCCTCTTCGAACGCTGCCCCGGCCCCCGAGGACTCGCAGACCACGTACCGCATCCTGCTGCTGCTCTCCACCCACGGCGGGGGAATCGCCGCCGCCGTGGTTGCTGCTGCCGCTGCCGCCGTCGCCGCCATCGTCGTCGTCGTCGACGTCGTCGTCGTGGGTAATCGAAATCGGTCTGGCGATGCTGCTGAATCAATGTGCTTGCGCCGTTCCACCGACCCCCAGAAGAGAAGGAAATGGAGAACACATACACGCACACGATAGAGAGGAGGACGACGAGGCATTTTGAAAGTCGAATGGGGTCTGTTGATGGGGGTTCTTGGAGACCTGGAGACCTGGGGGGGGGGGGGCCTTTGGGTCTGGCGATGTTGCCGATTTGTCCCCCCTTCCTCCATCGGCTGCAGCGCCCCCCCCCCCACCGCAGGCGGCGTCATCGGGCCCGCGCTCACGGCCTCGCTGCGGTCTGGCAGCGACCACGAGCGGCGCGCCATCGTCAGGACGGGGGCTGGGGGGTCCGACGAGGGGCCGAGGGGGAGCGAGGCGGTATTTCGGGAGTTTTCAGGTACCCGTCGGTTCCAGGAGGTCTCTCATGTTGAAGGCCGGTGACAGGGGCAAAGGTGAGCACAGCGAACGTCTCGCTTACGTCCGCCGCTAACTGGCTCAGATAGCGTTATCCTATTTGACTACCTCGTGCCAGCGAGGCGGCACTGAACCTGAGCGTCGGATAAAAGACACATCCACCGATGGTTAATATTTCACGCCTTGTCTTTTATCTTTTGTTCTGTCCATCAAGACGGGATAAGCTGTGGGATACCGTGATACATCTACGACGTCCTGTTAAGCAGGGTCTCGTCTTACACCCTCCGGACCTTCGATTGTGACTTGCTAGCGGAGCTGGCCTCATCTTCGTGTGGCTGGCGCTTACATCGCGTGTTATGTACACCAGTTTGCCACGGCACAGTGGGATACTCAACTGCGCCGGCTATCAGCCGCTACGCTCTCAATGCTCTTCAACCAATTGGCAATCTAGTACACTAATCCTCCATCTCTCCACCGCGTGGCAACATGTCGCGCACAACCCGAAACCCCAAACCCATTTGCAAACTGACGGCCACGTCAGACCATGCACCCAGTCGTAATCCTACGGATACGTCAACTACCAAAAAGACAAACATTAACCCCATCAGATACAGTATGAACATGCATTCTGTCAACGTGACCTTTTTGGGGATTATATTGGTGCTTTTTGGTTCGGCAGTGGGATACACGCGAGGAGGAGGACTGGATGAAACACGCACTCGGGGTCCCCAATTGGGGCCCCGCAAGCAATGCACCATTTCGCGAGTTCGTCCGCGAAGTCCACGCATGGCTTTACGTCACAAACGGAAACATGGCCCACCACAACAGGCCGCCGCGCTACAGCGCGGCCTCGGTGATCTCGTCAGAAATCTGGCCATGAGGGCGCCGCCTACCATCATCAACTACAGCGTACTCTTACAATGTAGACGCACCGATGGCGTCACATATGCGACGTACGCCTTAAACGCCCAGCTTGACAACCTCTGGGGCGTGCGACAGCTCACCACAGGAACAACCCTTGTCGACTTCAGGGTCGCAAGGGGCGAATGCATCGATTCAGTGCTGGCTCGATACGAAATGGCCCGGCTGGAAGCGGATTCGTCTGGTTTCAACATGCTCAAGTTCCAGATCCTGACGATCTTCTTTTCTGCGCTTTGGGACTAGGGACCTTCCTAATATCACAACTGCTGCAGTCACCCAATTACCAGATGTCCCGTGCGCAACAACCAACATTCAGACGACCAACTTCTGGAGCGCATGCGCAGCTATGGACACTTAGCTGATCGCGTTCCCGGCGAACTCGGGGGCAGCTTCAGCGGCCGCGACGCCGGCACTTATCAACGCAGGTAACACCTGCAACGAAGGGGAGTCCACCGAATCCCCGACACTCCTCGGCCAAGAGGACAGCAACGTGCAGGTCTCTGGCCTTGGCCCTGGTTGGCCAACTGCCGGCAATTACGCGCCGCCCGCAGCGACCACCCTTTGGGGTTTGTCCAACCAAAAAGGGGGCGGGACGTTTGACTCTGGCATAGATGCCGGCACCTGCTCTGCAACTGTTGCTGAAGCCATTGATCGGTCAAATTTGCATGCGGCTGATGACCGAGCATCCCAATGCCCGCGCCTCGGCCATCGCCATGCTAAGAGAAGGTGGAGGCGGTATACGAGGAATCCATTTAGTAGATTGCGGCGAGCAGTGCGTCGTTGCTTCTCACGCAGGGGCAGGGGTCGCAGAAAGGGTGGCGGGCGCGCCCGCGGGTTGCATTGCAAAAACTGGCCGCGCCCCCAGCTGGTTGAACCAAGCGCGACACGTGAGTAAATATTCTTTGGTGGTGAAGGCAGCTATGAAGGTCGCGGGGGCGCCGCGTGCAAGGACAAGGGGCGCGGGCTACACCCCGCAAACACATGGCCAGCGCGTGGCACGCAACCCTCGCCAGGCGCAGCATCCCAAAGGCAAGGGGCAGGCGGGTGGATTCGCAGTTTCTCAGAGCAACGCGAGGAATACGTGCTTGAGTACGCGAGTTCCCCCGCTCACCGTGCCCAGGTGCAATCGGGGGCCGCCTGGTTCTCGATTGCGCGACGCGCTGAAGCTGCCATGGCGGTCGAGCGTTTCACCGAGCATGCGTGCGACGGCGCCGAAGAACTCCTCGATGCGCCGCTCGATGATTGGGCCGGCCTGTCGCGGCGCGGGCGCGCGCATTATGACGGCGACGGGGGTGATTGCGCGTCCTGGGCCGAGGCCGCCCACGTCTCTGGCGGCGAGCAACGGCAACTTCAGCTCGGGCGCGAGCAGAGAAGTCTTCCCCAGCCCCCAACGCCGACGGTCTTCGGCCTCGCAGCTGATAGGCAGGCCGCGGCAGGCTGGGGCCAGTCGGGCGCCGCTATCGACGCGGCGCGGGGCCGCTAGGCCCCCGTTGGATCAGGTCTGATTGGGGGTGGCCCTGACGAGGGCGACAAAGGCCGCAGTGGCCGCGGCCGCAGTGCGGGAGCTGGCCCCGCGGGGTCAGACCTGGGCGCGGCCGGCGGCAGCCGAGCCCGCGGCCACTCACGCTCTGCAGGCCCCATCGTCGCGCCAGGGCCATGGCGGTTCTGTAGGCCCTTCGTCAGGCAAAGCCTATGGCGTTTCGGGCCCGGGGGGCTTCTCCTGTTTTCTTTTTCGCGCGGCGAGCAGGGCCCGCGCGCGAAGATGCCAGAAGACGATGTGCAGTGGCATCTGGGTAAAGGCTACAGTGCGCGAGGAATCCGCCAACGGTGGTCCTCCTGCATGTTCCCCGCCGCGATTCGGCCCGCGCCATCTGGGCGCCGCGCCGCCGCGCAACGGGCAGCAGAGGATTGCGTCGGCACGCGCGCGAAGTGATCGCCAATCGCAGGACATGCCGCGCGTGCGGATTTCTTGGCTTCAGCAAGCATCGTCCTAGATGCCCCGTTGATCGGCCATCGCGCCATCGCGCAGCCCCCATCAGCGCGAAACGCCACGGCACCCTTGCCAACCTGTCTTTGACCGACGCAGACATCACTGATATCCAACAGGACTGAAGCCTGCTTCCAGAAGATCATCCCAAAGATCTACTACCAGGACCGGCGCGCCAGGCATCCAGGCGCCCCGAAGCAGGAGGACAGCGATGCGAGCGCTCCTCGTCGTCGGGAGCTGAGTGCGGCGAACCAACTACTCGGCGGCTCCTCCTGCAGGGGTCTCTCCGCCATCGACGCAGGGCGTGGAGGGGGCAGAGGGCGGCGATGGGGCGGCGCCGATTTCGCCAGCGGCTCCGGGCCGCGGCGCTCGCTCCAGGGCGCGCGCGGCCCTGGGCGCCCACAGCTCCGCGCCCTCCTCGGAGCCCTGACGGGCGAGGGCGGGCGCGCCCAAGGCGAGGGCGGCCACGCCCGAGATATGCCCCGAAAAAACAGCACCGCCAGCAAAGAGTCTTCGTCCAGGACACGCGGTGTATTCTCCCAAATCCGATGAGGGGTCGGCCCCAAGTTGGCGACGCGCGCCGAAGGAGGTCCACGGCCTCGAGGAAGACAAAGGGCCTTCCCCATAAAGAATGAGAAGAACCAAGCTACTACCCTTTGCGAGGCTCAATGTGGCCCCGTGCGCCACGGGCGGCAGCGCTCGGGCAGCGCCGGAGAGCAGGCTGCCAGCTTCCAGGGCCCCCCCACTCCCATGCCGAAGCAGCCTGCGGCGCGAGCTCGGGCAAGCCGCGCCCCGGCCACGTGCGCCGCGGGGGCTGGGCTCCTACCGCGCGCGCGACCGCCCCAGGCACGGGCGGGGCTAGCTCGGCCACGGGCACGGGGTCGCTACCTCCAGCCAAGGCGATCCCGAATGGGCCCTTCGATTCAGAGGCCGCGCAAATGCTGGCGGCGGCGAGCGACCTGCCGCCTCCACAGAAGGAGGAACCGATGGAAGAACCGAGCAGCCAGGTCACTGGCTACCACAGCCGATGCCGGTCGGCCTCCAGGTCGAGACGATTCCTTCTTCGGACGTACCTCTTGAACGGACCGCGGCGCGCGTGTCAAGAGGCGCGGTTGCGTGCCGAATGCGTCGGCGGTCACGCGTTTGCGCGAGAAAATGCAGCGATCTTGGTTATTTTGGAGAGCTCGCTGGAAAGACTCGACAGTGCGGCAGTCCACAGTTCGCTGCGGAAGATACTTTCAAACGCGAGCCATGCCGAATATCGATCGCTGAAGCGCTGCGCGATGGCCCGGTTCGATGGGATCTCTCAAAGAAGCGCCAGTTTGCGGCGAAGCCGCGCCGTTCGAGACGCCAAGAAACCGGGGGGGGGCGGGGGGGGGGCAGGAGGAGCTTTGCCGCGTGAATGCTTTAAGAGAAGGCCGAGGATAGAAGTGTGTTGCCTCGTTCTCAGCGGAGCCGATTTGATCTCGCAGAGCGACGCCTCGTGCGTCAAGGACACCTGGTCAAGGTATTCAGTCTGGATGTCATCGATCATGTCCAGGACCGTGTCTGCCGCGTGGGAGATCGCGCCAGTTGCCCCCTCGATGAAAGACAGCGCGCGGCACTTACGCAGGCGAGCCATGATCCAGGCGGTTTAGGAGCGGCCAGTCCAGAGCAGTGCCTTCAACCTCCATGATGCTTTTTCCGTGGGCAGCTTTTGGGAGCATGGACATCCTGGGTTTGAGCAGGGCTCCAAATTTATTGACATTGCCCCCGTGAGGGCGGAGCTTGTCTAAGATGCGCGCGCATTCTCTCCGAATTGGTTAGCGGCCCCTTGCGCGTGAAGCGATTCTTGGCATGTGCGACACGCTTGAAGAATATATATGTTGTTTGACGTGCCTTTGAATTTTTTCCAAACGTTCAAATCGTTTGTAAAAGCACATTCCTCGATTCTGGCGTTCGAAATCGATGTTCCGCCAGTTGCGTAGAGCCGGAATCGATGATTTCGGCCCTTCCATCGGGGCGATCTTG